AGCAAATCAACGATAAACGGGAGGGCCTTTACCTTTTTACCTTTAATGATGAAGGGAGTTGCAGGGTTATGAGATTAGGACTGTGTTTAGAATACTGTATGCCTCCTTTATAATTTTAGGCTCAAGAGAAAAGCTTCCTTGAATAACAAGGGACAGAATACATGAGAGCAACTCTTAAAAGGGATTCTTTTTTAACTTATCACTGAAATGAACTATGGAGGTTGAGGGTTTTAATTTTGTCCTTTTGTTGTCAGTAAAGAAAAATATTCTAATTATATGCACTCAGGTTGATGTAGGCAGGCAGGCGCTGCCATTGCCTTGGGAGCAGGAAGGCCTGCTCCCAAGGCAATGACAGCAAATTTCCTGGGAAGTAATAGCCCTCATGGAGAGCAGTAATAGACCCTGAGGAGGCTGGGCCCCTGGGACTTTCATATCAGGAACAAAAGGCCAGGAAAAGAATTTCAAAGAAGGCCATCATCACTCCCAACTCTACCCCCTTGACATCCTCCTTAGCAAGGGACTTTTGCCTAGGTAGAAGCCCCACATGGGGGCAGGTTGGAAAAACCTATAAAAGCAACCTTGAACAAAGGAAGTGCAGTCATATGCTTCCGGAGCCCATGTGCGGCTTGCGCCTACGTGGCTAAGCACATGCGGTGCCTGAGCACATGTGTCTCCTGCATCTCCCCTCTTGAGAAGTGTGATTTTATGCCTTCATGTCTAATGCTGGAATGTGTGTAGGGGCTTCTCAGCCTTTGAAGAAGTCCACACTCTCCCTTGAGTGCATTATTCTCTCTCTCTCTCTCTCTCTCTCTCTCTCTCGCTCTCTCTCTCTCTTTTTCTGTCTCATTTCTGTCTCTGTCTCTGTCTCTCTGTCTCATCTCTGTCTGTCTCTTTGTCTCATCTCTGTCTCTGTCTCTGTCTCTGTCTCTGTCTCTCTCTCTCTCTCTCTCTCTCTCTCTCTCCCTCAGAACCTCCAAATAAAATCTATTTTAATTCACTGCTTGTCTACTCCTGAAATTCTTTTCTATGAGGCAAAAAAAAAAACAACCCACTAAACCTGGGTCCTGGGTGGCAGAGGCAGTTCGGGAGAAAGTGACCATCTTTCTCCTCTGCACTTCAAATAAGTTACCCAAGGAGCCCACCTACAGCAAGGTGATAGCTAAAGTTATTCCTTACAAAAAGACCACAACAGTCATCTCATTTGTTCACAGTGAAGATTTGGTGTTATTTAAGGTGAATTGGTAAAACCTTTTTTCCTATTTGGAAACATAAGGAACATAGTAAGGAAGAATATTCTGCATTATGAAAGGAATATATTCTCTTATTGTATAGTTTGATATTCTTAAAAAAATGATCACCTGTTGGAAGCCTAAGGAGAATCTTTCTTCAGAAACTTTAATTTTTTTTTCTTAGAAATATTTCTATTAGTTCTTTTTCCATCAGGTATCAGACATAAAGAAAGTTGTCAGTGAGTTTTTCATTTTCTTTTAACAACTTTCTTTCAAAGCAAGCCTTAATTCAGCATGAATATTTTGCTTTCCCCCTTGCAATTACGCTTGTCAATACAGGTGCGTATACAAGAACGCATGTGTTTATTTTCTAATCAATTTTATTTCCATTGCACTTCAGTGCTTCTGCTCTAATATCAAATTACATGCTTCCTTTAACAATTATTTCTGAGATTTCTTAATTTAATTTTTACATAAATCAGATTAATATTAAAAACAAAAGTTTTATTTTTACTTCCTCATTTGGACTTTTGTTTTCTATAAAGTGAGATTAATTTTATTCTAAAGTACAAGCATTGTATGAGACAACTACTGTAAATATATTACTAAATTCACCTACAAAATGTACTAAACACTATACTTGATACATTAGAGTATCAAATGTATATCACCTTCAACTTTTAATTATTTAACAATACTCATTAATACTTTATTTTTATTCTCAGTAAAACGAAGTTTATCTAACTCCTATCCCTTTCATTGTGTTAAAAAATAAGAGCTTAACTATAATTTGTGGTATTTTATAGTGTAGCATATTATATGTAAAAGTTTGACATTTTGTAAATGAAATATAGAGGTAATCTCCATACTCCTGAAGTGTCCCCTAGTTGAATTCATAAACATGACTCATATCTGTAGCAATTTACCACACTAGTGCCAAACAAATTGGCACCTTGGATCTCTATCCAGTGGGACTGGTCACAGAAAATGAGACAAGCATACAGGACTATCCAAACTTTACCTTAACCTGCTTAGCCTAAGTGAGCTCACAGACTGCACATTTATCCAAAACAATGTTGTTCCCCCAACCCTATTGATACCTAAACAATATTGAGCTATTGTTTAAGTTGACAGAGACATTAAGAACCTTTAATAATAATTTCACATTTCAATAGGAACAAAAAGAGCTGGGGGCAGGGGATTTTACAAAGTCAATTAGCAGGCACACTTAAAGAATAAAATAGTGACATTTCTAACTCTGTTTTTGTCTGTGTTTCCATCTACATCTAAAAGACACTATACTTTTTTTTTTTCCTGAGCACATTTTTGCTGGCTGTGGGAGCATTTTTGCCTGCTCTCTTAGATACTATAAGATCTAAAATGTTTTGCCCAGGGACAATTCCAACCTTAGGGTTTCTGCTAAGGAGATGATCTCCCCCACACATACTTGCTTCAGTACTTTCCTGTGTTCCCAACTCCTTGTTCTTTAAGTTTCAATGGAAGCAGAGTGTAGGGATTTCCCTTCATGAAATTGGGGCATGGGGTAGGTGTAAGTCTTTAAATGAAGCGCTGTAGCACTGTCCTCCTGTTGTTCATTGATTTACTTGAGCAGGCCCAGTAAAGTCTGCATTGTGAGATTTGTTACTGTGTTTGGCATATCGAATACGTCTCGGGTAGCTTGCCAGGCTTTGCCCTGCGTGCGAGCAAGATACTCTAGGTAGCTTGCCAGGCTCTCCAAGAGGGGGCGGAGGAATCAAACTTGGGTCGACCAGGTCGGCCATGTGCAAGGCAACCACCCTACCTGCTGTGCTATAGCTCCAGCTTTAAATGGAAGATACAAAAAATGGACAATTTAAATGATTTGAAAGATAGCATATCTTGGTAAAATACAAATATTTTGAGGTAAAAAGAATCCTAAAATAATTTTAAAGTTTGAAGAGACACCTTTTTTTATATTCCGGTGGCCTAAAGGTGTTAATGTGATTTCTAAAATACCTATATTCCTTTGTTGGCATTAATTTTTCAATGGAGAAAGTGCTAAAAAAGAACAGAGCCAATATAGCAATTGATAAACTAGAACTCTCTTCAGGATTTTTTAAGAGATTCTTAAATGAGCTCCAAGACATTATCCTTATAAGAGAGAGTGGAAGAATATTGTGATGAAATATAGTTCCCCAATAAAACTATGCACCAAGCATTTTTCCCTACCAAATGTCCATAACTATAGCCTTAAGGTATCAAGTATACATATTACTTGACTGCATATTTATAATATTATCATCATAAAGCTCAAGGGAATAAACTACAACTGAACTTTGTACTGTGGAAATTTTATCAGACATCTTAAGTTCTAGACTTTGCAATGAATCTCTTTTCTGGTGTGTTGAGAGAAAATTTTATACAATTGAATTAGTGTTTTTCTAATATGTATAAATTGATATCTTATAATCATTTTGAACATAAAATTTGTGGTTGGGTGATTTTATTTTATCTTTACACTTTTTCTGAATTGTCATTATTTTTGTTAAACCTTGAGAAATTTTTAGCTGTTACAAATATCTGTTGTTGATGAATGTTATCGTGGTTGAAAATGCACTCATTTGTGGAGTATAGAATAACATAACATTAGGCTGACACCCAAGGACAGTAGACACAAGGGACAGGAGGATTGCTCCATAGCTAGAAGCCTGCCTTATGAGCGAAGGGGAGAAGGCAGCTGGAATAGAGAAGGTATCACTAAGAAAATGATGGCTGGAGGAATTCATCGGAATGGGAGGTGTGTGCTGAGAGTAGATGATGGACCAAACATGATGACCTCTCAGTGTTTGTATTGCAAACAACAATGCCCCAAAGTAGAGAGAGAATATGGGGAATATTGCCTGCCATGGAGGCAGGGGGAGGGTGGAGAAGAGGAGTATACTGGGGAGACTGGTGGTGGGGAATGTGCACTGGTGGAGAGATGAGTGTTTGATCATTGTGTGATTTTTACCCAGACATGAAAGCTTGTAACTATCTCACAGTGATTCAATAAAATTTAAAATAAATAATCACTTAATCACTTAATCACTTAACTTCCCGTTAGTCGTCGATTTGCTCGAGCGGGCGCCAGTAACGTCTCCATTTGTCCCTGTCGCGTGCTAGTGTAGCCCAATGGCATCTGTTCGCTCCGGGAACATGAAGGGCCTCAAACCGATCGTTCATGATCTTCAGGAAGAAGTCTGACCATCTGGTAGGTGGGCGGCCACGCGGTCTCTTGACATCCCGTGGAATCCAATCAGTAACAGCTCTAGTCCAACGGTTGTCTTTAAATCTCATTACGTGACCAGCCCATCTGATTTTCGACACCTTGGCAAATGAGACAGCATCCCTGATCCTTGATCGTCGACGGATGTCAGAACTCCGGATTCTTTCTCTCATTTGAGTGAAACGTGATATTCCAAGCATAGCTCTTTCTATTCTTCTTTGGGAGACCTGAATGGCGTTCTCATCTTGTTTGCGTAGGGCCCAGGTCTCTGAGGCATATGTTAATGCAGGAAGAACAGTGGAATCAAAGAGATGTGCCCGGAGCCGGAGGTTCTTCGTCCTCTTAGCTATTTCTTCGACGTTCTTGAAGGCGTTCCAAGCCGCTCTCTTCCTCCTGCGCAGCTCGGGTGCCAGGTCATTTGTCATGTTGACCTCTCGACCTAGGTAGACATAGCTGTTGCATTCGGAGATGGTCGTTCCATTGAGAGCGAATGGGGCATCAGGAACAAGCCGCTCGGGAGTCGCCGCCACCACCGCCGCCACCGCCGTTGCCGCCTCCCCGCCGGCAAGTGCGTGAGAAGGAGCCGCCGCGGGCCGCCGCCGCCTCCGCAGTTGTCATGGGGAGGAAGTCGAGCAAAGGCAAGGAGAAGAAGCAGAAGCGACTGGAGGAGCGAGCAGCCATGGACGCCGTCTGTGCCAAAGTGGAAGCCACCAACAGGCTTGCAGACCCCTTGGAGGCCTTTCCCGTCTTCAAGAAGTACGACCGCAACGGGTTAAATGTCTCTATCGAGTGCAAGCGCGTGTCCGGCCTGGAACCCGCCACGTTGGACTGGGCCTTCGGCCTCACCAAGACCAACATGCAGTCCATGTATGAGCAAAGCGAGTGGGGCTGGAAGGACCGCGAGAAGCGGGAGGAGATGACGGACGACCGCGCCTGGTACCTCATAGCTTGGGAGAGCAGCTCCGCCCCCGTGGCCTTCTCCCACTTCCGCTTCGAGGTGGAGTGCGGGGATGAAGTCCTGTACTGCTACGAGGTGCAGCTGCAGAGCAGGGTGCGGCGGAAAGGCCTGGGGCAAGTTCCAAAATAAATAAATAAAAATAAAATTATCATTGTATGGACTATTTACATTAGAGTAACCTGTCACAAATTGGTTATATTTTGAGGATGTGACATGTTAGATGCTACTGCAAAAACAATGTTTTACCACAGAACATAATAAATGTTTTGTTTTGTTCTTAATAATAACAATTTATTACTATTGTAAAAAGTTTGAAAAATTCCCATAAATTTATTCCTACGTGTAAGTTTTCTATGCACTTTTCAAGAAAAAAAGGATAATTTGAAATATCAGTGCACAATGAGAGAGAACTTACTCCTTGGATATTCCAAGGAGCAATGTGAGTTTACCAATGGGACACGAAGAATTAATATTGAAACTATATATCACCTTTGCATTCCACCTATTATAGACAGAAATATGCCTCTCAACTTCCATTATATTCAGACACTGAAGATAAAACTTCCAGTATCTCAGAATATGACCTTATTTGGAAATAGAGTCATCAGAGGTAAAACTAGCTAAATTGTGGTGAGACCATATCCTCCAACTTGGTACAATTGTATGCCTTCAAAAGGGAGGAGGATTTGAACATACAGAGATTTGCATGTGGCAAGAAGGGCATATGAAAATGAAGGTATGGTTTGGGGTGACTCTTTTATAAGGTAAGAAATGCTGAATCTTTCCAACTAATAAGACCAGAAGCTCGAGGAGGAACATAGAAGACTCCTCTCAACCTTTAGAAGTTACTAATCAGAAATGACACTTTGATATTGGACTTCTAGTCTTTATTTTTTTTTAGTTAATATATTACCATTGTTTAGGCCACAATTTTTATAACAGTTCTTAGAAACCACTACATTGCTCAATCAATAGGCAGTAGTAGAGGCATAAAACTATTGGTTTATAGTAAAGAAGTGTTCTAATTGGCCTGTTATTAGTTCTGTTTGATATGTATCCCTGCCTGCTTTACCAGTAATCACATTTAAAAAATAACAGCTCTGCTATCTCTTTCTCAGAAATAGTCTTCATATGACATGAAGATGACAGTTGGGCTTTGGTTTCAAAATTTAAAATGGAGATTTTAAAGTAAGTAAATATCATAAAATTAGCTATCTTACAATTCTGGATTTTTCTGGATACTATAATTGTTTTCACAGAATGAACTAGTATATCCACATTGCAGATAAGAAAGAGAGGCCTAGAAGTGGTGGAGATAAGACTTAATGACACATGGTCAGAAATTTTCCGGAGAAAAAAATCAAGAAATGCCCTTTGGACCCTTCCCATAAAATTACATTGTTGTACAAACAGTGACTATACAGTTACTATACAGCAAAAAAAGGATACAAGAAAATATTGAGCAAAGTGGATTTATTAGTTAATAACTAAGAAATGTTAATTTTAATGTCAGATATTTACCAAATATTGTGTAATTTTAGGCTCTACTATAAAATTGTTATGTAATGGTTGCCCTTGAAACAATGAAGTCCTTCAAGCAAAGCCAGCTGAAAATCAGCAAACTGTACTTAAGGATTACATCTATGGCTGTAAATAGATTTTTAAAGTTCACATTTTATTTGTGTGTTTTTATGGCAATCAATAGGAAGCCATCTATAGCATTTAGGTGTTCCCATGCTGATTACTGTGGCAGCTACTGAATCACTGCTAGGAAATTCAATGTATTAACAGGTTATATTGGCTAGCTAAACACATCACTTGAATAGAATAGGAAACAACAGTATAGGGTCAGCACAAACTAAAAATATAGAAGTCTAGTTCAATAGAGAATGAAAGGGAGCCCAAGACAGCGCCCTAAATTTTCTCTTAAGGATGGTGAATTCCCCATGATACTCATATTTATCATGGTGTCAAAAATATACATTAACAACAATTACAGATCTGCTGATTTTTACACACTCTGCAAGAACAAAGTATAAATTGTTGCAAAACAATATACTGAGATTTGGGTTTGGTAATTTCGTGATTTCAGTAGTGTGAAGAATTGAGTAGTGGGAGATTGCATTCCTCCAATCTACTCTAAGTAACTGAAAGCTCATGAACATTAATTATTCAATTCCCTAAGCACGAAGGAATCTGTCCTTATTGAGGAAAGTGATATTCTAGAGGAAAGGTAGTTGGCTCCATGGTTGCACTGAAAGTGTGAGGCCATTACTTTGATCACCACATATATAGACTGAATCCTGGCAATTCTGTTGTCCGTGATCCCTGACAACACAAATGATTTCTGACTGCATGATAGTCATCTATGTGCAGTCACCACAAGTGAAAAAGGTATGATCTCCAGCACTCAACAAGAAAGTTTTTTGCAGACCACAGTGGAGCCTACCAGCAAGCAGTTTGATGAGCACCACAACTGAAATGTGTGACCACCGGCAAGCTGCTCTGTAAGGAGTGTCGTCCCTGTTGAGCATCATGGATAGCAGATGTGTGATTCTGGGTCATTGCAACCACATCAACAGAGAGAAGAGAAACGGAGAAAGGTAGACTAAATAGTAGAAGAGCTTGATGAGAAAATGTTTTATAATGATAAAGTTATTTCTGGGACTCCACGCCAGGCTGTTTTCACCCAGGGTGCCCCAGAATGGGGTGGGTGACAGCCCTTTCCTCCCCAAGGGACCCAGCCCCAGCAGTCGACCTCCACTACCCAACCCCCGCCACGCTCCAGGCCGCTTTCTGGACAGCAAAGCAGTGTGACACATCATAAGACACTTCCTACCCCTTTTTCATAATTACCACACCATATATATATATATATATATATATATATATCAAATATATGTCAAATATATATCAAATATGGTCTTATAGTTGGCGAAGGACAGGCGGGCCTTACGAATACTTTTCCCGGCTTCTGCCGCATCTACCAGTACTTCTGCTCTTCTCTCTTTGAGGTCTTCCTTGATCGCATCTCTGCACTGCTTTGCAAGCTCGGACGTTAGCTTGCGGTTGCCTGAGGCATGCGCCAAACCACGCTGGTGAATTAGCTCAAGAGTTTTCGAAGATAGGCGACTTTTTGTGGCTATCTCTCTCTTGGCGTTCCTCGCACATTCATGGAGGTGCTGAACCTGTCGATCGTATTCCTTGTCAATGTTGTCAACAATGGCATCTTCCCATGTTGCCGCAATAGTACCAAAGAGTTCCCAGTTGGTGGTCATTCTGGGAGTTCTCTTTTTGAACTTTGCAGCCCTTTCTCCCCGCTCTGTGAAGTAGAATTTTGCACGAAGGAGAGGGTGGTCCGATCCCGTTCGAAATTTTGGGACAACAGCGACATCAGTCAGGCAAAACCATCGATTGAATATGATGTGGTCTATTTCGTTGTGGAATCATCCACCGGGAGACTCCCATGTCCATCGTTTAGATTCTGCCTTCTGGAACTGTGAGTTACCATGGATGGTCTTGGTCGACATGACGAACTCTGACAGTCTCTCACCCTGTTCGTTCCATTCTAGGCCATGGGTCCCGATGTGAAGTTCTTCATCTGATCTTCTCGGTCCTATCTTGGCATTAAAATCACCCACAATGATCTTGTAGAAGGTGTGGTCTTCTTTATAGAACTTCTCTAGCTCCATGTAGAACTTCTCGATTTCTCTTTCATCATAATGAGATGTTGGTGCGTAGACAACGAAGATAGAAACTGCAGGCAGTGAGCCACATCTATTCAAATGTAAACGTCTGATTCTGGTTGTTAGGCATTCGAATGAATCAATGCTCTTGGCCAAGTTTGTGTTGACAAGGACACCGATGCCTCAAACACCTCTTTTATCGCATGGTCCGAGGAACAATTCTTCTCCAGTGTCGAAAACGGCATGGTGAGATTCGTGCCTTCTTGTTTCGGTCAGACCAATGATGTCTTACTTGATCATTCGCGCTTGTACCATTAGGTCCTCGATGGATGCATCTGATGCTAGCGTACGTGCATTGAAAGTACAGACGATCATTTTTGTCTTCCTTCGTTGTGGCAGCCTAGGTCGGCCTTGAGATTTTGTCAGCCTTTCCTTTCTCATCCTTCTCAGTGCTGCCATGTCAGTGAAGCCTTCAGGGTCAGGTGAAGGAGACCAGTTGAAGTTACTGGTTTTGGCATATCGAATACACAGCGGATAGCTTGCCAGGCTCTTCTGTGCGGGCGGAATACTCTCGGTAGCTTGCCAGTCTTTCCGAGAGGGATAGAGGCTTTTGGGGTGACCTCTAATCACCCTTGTAGGTGTTACCATATTTGAACCCTATCAAATATGGTACGACAATTCGAGAAGATGGGTATTTAGTGTCTTATGATGTGTCGCGCGGCCGCTTGCGGCCGTGCGGGTCCGGAAAGCGTCCTGGAGTGTGGCGACGGCTGGGTAGTGGAAGTCGTGTTGAGAGTGGAAGTCTGCCAGTGGGGTATTTATCTGGGTAGGGTGGGTCTCCTGTGCACAATTCGATCCCTGGGTGGTTGATGGAAGCAGACAGGGCAGGGTAGGGTGGGGCTCCTGATTAGAATCCCTTTGTCACCTGTGGTGGTGGGAGCAAGCAGAAAAGCTCTGTCCCTGGGTCCGCCGAGCCTGGAGTCCAAGGTCTCAGAGAGTTCCGCTTATCTTGTTCTGTGGGTCTTCAGTTGTGCGTGGGTCTCGGCCGGATCGGCCGCGCGGGTCCGGAAAGCGTCCTGGAGTGTGGCGACGGCTGGGTAGTGGAAGTCGTGTTGAGAGTGGAAGTCTGCCAGTGGGGTATTTATCTGGGTAGGGTGGGTCTCCTGTGCACAATTCGATCCCTGGGTGGTTGATGGAAGCAGACAGGGCAGGGTAGGGTGGGGCTCCTGATTAGAATCCCTTTGTCACCTGTGGTGGTGGGAGCAAGCAGAAAAGCTCTGTCCCTGGGTCCGCCGAGCCTGGAGTCCAAGGTCTCAGAGAGTTCCGCTTATCTTGTTCTGTGGGTCTTCAGTTGTGCGTGGGTCTCGGCCGGAGCGGCCGCGCGGGTCCGGAAAGCGTCCTGGAGTGTGGCGACAGCTGGGTAGTGGAAGTCGTGTTGAGAGT